CACACAGGAGTAGAAACAATTCAGGATTTCCTTTTGGTTTCCTTTTAAATCCAAGAATCTGTTCACGTGAAGTTGAAATATCTTCTCCAGGGCCTTCCAGAGCCTGTAAGCTTCAAACTTCATTTCAAAGGTCAATAACCCTTTGGGTCTCCAGATCAGACTGGGCCACTTGCTGCTGTTGCTGAGGGAAATATTCCTTTGGGGCCCTTCGAGGCTTCATTCCCACATTACGCTAAACCATGGTTTGTTTCTGGTTAGCCCAAAGTGGGAACCAGCCCTTGTGACTTGGTGCTATTTGTGAACACAGAGCATGATTTTTGTTCACAGGGATCCCTGCAAGCTTTTTCCAGATCGAGCAGATCCTCTTTGAGGCCACAAGATCCCCATTCCCACTTTGCAGCTGCAGGTTCAGGCAACTGTTCCCTCTCTGGGATCCCTTCCCCCCCCCCAAAGAATCTCCCCTGTGGAGGAATGGCAGAAGGAAAGATGGAAGGGTCTCCGTCCTTCCGTTTCTTTGCAACTCCTTCTTTTCTCAATCTCCCTTGGGATCCTCTGCTGGCTTTTCCAGATTCCCTTCTCCTGGGGAGATTCAGGGGCTCCATCCTGGGGGGAAAATGCAGGGATGGGGGTCGAGGGAAGGGAAAAGGGCAATTACTGATGGGGATTTCTTTCCCTTGGATGCTTGGGAGGAAATGGGGGGGTCAGTGCCTGTGTCAAAGTCCCTGCAGGGAGGGGGTCTTTGTCTATCATGAGGACTCCCCAAACCATCCTCCTGCCTGTCTTTTAGGCCTTCACTCATTGCAGTGGATGTGTGGCTGTGAGCTCCGAGGAGACAAGAGCAAAAGAGGATTTTGGCAGTATGGCTACGAAGGGAGGACCTTCATCACCTTCGACAAGGAGACCCTCACCTGGGTGGCTCCCGAACCCCAGGCCCAGATCACCCAGAGGAAATGGGACGGTGTTCCAGGAAAGAATGAGAGACAGAAGTCCTACCTGGAGGAAATCTGCATTGACTGGATAGAGAAGTACCTGTCCTATGGGAAGGAGACTCTGCTGAGGACAGGTGAGCATCTGGATCCAGACTTTCCTCCTTTATGGCTGGATCTCTTGTACACATTCAGCCCCTTTGGGTGCCTGGTCTTTAGCCTGTTTGCCATGGTGGGAATCCCCCTCCTCCTCTTCCAGCCCCTCTTGCATGTAGACCCCCTCCCCTAGGTCTAACCGTCCCCCCTTGGGTCCTTCATCCTTCCAGGATCAGCTGGATGAGATTAGCATCAATGGGGGAATTGCAAACAGGAGCCCCCACTGATGATTGCCCACAGCCCCACCCTGCCTGGGGAGGACCCTCTCTCTCTTCCATTGGTATCAGTCTCACTCTGCCCCCCTCCCCACTTTCAGAGGCAAAATCTCTTTTCCCAATAGATCCCTGTGAGATTCCCTTTGATCTCTCTTCCTCTTAAAATTGGGGTTGTGTCCCTTGGAAAGAGGCCTGGAGCAGCCTCAGATTCAGGGGAGGAGAAGAGGAGGCAAAAAGTTGGGGGAATCTTCTGTGTGGTTGTTGTTGTCTTGAAAGGGACCTTAAAAGACCATCTCCACTTTCCCTCCCCTGAAGGGAGCAGCCCAAGATCACTC